CACTACATGTCCTAAAAATTCAGTCTCTTTTTTCAAGAAGTCTGATTTATTTAAGGATACTTTTAGATTTGCAACTTCTAATGTTTTCAAAACTTTTCCCAAGTTTTCCATATGCTCCTGTAATGAAGTCGAAAATACTAAAATATCATCCATGTATACCACACATATCCTGTTTATATGCTCTCTGAGCACGTTGTTCATCATTCGCTGAAAAGTTGCCGGAGCATTCTTTAGACCGAATGGCATTCTTATAAATTCATAATGTCCATTTGTTGTAGAGAATGCTGTTTTTTCCCTATCTTTTGGATCTACCTCAATCTGATAAAATCCCTTTGTTAAGTCCAATGTTGTGAAATAGTTAGCTCGACCTAGTTTATCTAGTATGTCGTCAATTACTGGTATTGGATATCTATCATCTTCAGTGATAGCATTCAATTTTCTATAGTCTATAACAATTCTCCATTCCTTGTTTCCTACTTTATCTTCCTTCTTGGGTACTACCCAGATAGGAGAATTATATGGAGATGAACTATGCTTTATTATACCTTGTTCTAGCATTTCATTCATTTGTCGATCTACCTCTTCAGTATGTATTGCTGGATACCTATATGATTTCGTATATACAGGGCCATGATCTCCTGTTTCTATCTTGTGCTTTATCTCATTGGTAAAGGTCAGATCATCTCCCGGATGGTAAAAGGCATTTTCATATTTAGTTATTAATCTTTGGAGCTCTGATTTTTCTTCTCTATTTAGGTGGTCTGTCCTTAGCTGCTCAGTAATTCCTAGTATGTTAATATGATGGAGTTCTGGCAATGTTTGTAGTGAAAATTCGTCATCTTCAGAATCTCCTTCAAAATATATCCTGAACTTTTGACCGTTAATACTTACTTCTTTTTTCCTATAATCAATTACAGAACAATTTTCTTGTAATGTTTGGTTGCCTAATATTCCATCGAAGAATTTGTGAAAGGTATACACCCTAAATGTTGTACCTGAATTAAGGGGAATCTTAATAGAATTTTTTGGAAAATGGGCATTGCGGTCAACCGTAATGACACCTGCTGCAGTTTTAATGTATATTGGAGTGTGAGAATTTTTTATATACTGTGGAGGACAATGATCTTTACATATTAGATTTTCTGTGGAACCCGTGTCAATTAATAATCTTGTTTTCCTTGATCTTCCTTTGAGTATGATATAGGGAAGTCCGGTGGCTCCTTGTAAGGAACTAACCGAAAATTTTCCGCTTTGGCTTCAAAATTTTCATTAGTACCATACTCATATTCAGAACTGTATTGATCTTCTTTATTATCCTGATATACACTGTCTTGATACAAATCATCTTGATACATTTCGCTTATCTCTATTTTATTGTTAATACCTTCTAAATTCTTACATGATTTCTGCTCCTGGTGGTGTGTCTGCCTTTTTGATTGTTGAGATGCATCAACATCCATTGATTCATGCTTTTGTTGATATGATGTTGGAGGCTGTTGTCTGATTTGTGGTTGCTGAGGCTTGTAGTAAGGTTGTTGCGATCCATGTTGCTGGAAATTTGGTTGTACAATTCTCGGCTGCCAATGTTGTTGTTGTTGGTAATGTGGCTGCATTATCCTTGGTTGCCAATGTTGCTGTTGTTGGTAATGTGGCTGCATTATTTTTGGTTGCCAATGTTGTTGTCGTTGTTGGTAATGTGGCTGCATTATCGTTGGTTGCCAATGTTGCTGTTGTTGGTGATGTGGTGTGATGTCCTTCTTCTTTTCGTTGTTCAGGAATCCCGCAGAGCTCAATTCATGCAAAGCTTCCTCCATACTTTGTGGTTTTAATGCGCATAATACAGTCCTCATATGGATTGGAAGACGTGTTATAAAAGTCTTCAGACCAGTTTGGATATTCCTATCGACTTCATCCAATCGATTCTCCTGACCACATTTTTGGTTAAGAATTGCTAGTTTGTGTTGGATGTGGTTGTAGAAATCCATAGTATCTCCTTTATACTGCGCTGCTCTCAGTTCCTGATATAATTGGTCCACAGTGGCAAAGCCACCAAAGTTGGTATTTAGCATCGCTTTTATGTCAGTCCAAAGGGTCAAATGGGGATGAACCTCCATTGCTCTTCTGGCGTTTCCAGTTAGTTTTGATTTTACGATGTTCATACACATTCTTTGAGCTTGTTCGTTGTATAACATTAATGTAGGAATTATGTCATCTACATTTGTTATGAATGTTGTGAGGTCTTCCTTCTTCCCATCAAATTCCCTTAATTTTTCAATATATGTAAGGGCATTGATGTCTAGCGTACGTAATTGTATGTTGTTTTGCGCTGGGTTAAGGGCTGGTTGATTTGCGTTATTCATTTTGTTTCAATTTTTTTATAATCTTATTAATGTTCCAAATTTCACTTCGTTGCTATTTTTTGGCTATTTGTAAGTCTTTTAATGTTTTTTAGTTTTCCTCTAATGTTTTACCACTTTCACTTTTTAAGTTTCGTAATTATTTCTTATATTGTAATTATTTGCTTTCTTAAATTTGTAACAATTTGTTAATCTTAAAAATTTATTTCTCTCTTATTAGGATGTGATGTCCACTTTTAACTTTTCCTAGTTTTCTTGTTTAACGTAATTTTGTTAACTTGTTTCTTTTTTACTATTCACTAAAATGTTTCTTTAATCACTAAGTTTATTGTCCCTTTCCGGAGGACTTATCCTTTTACGTAGGATTTCGTTTCACGGACTACCAAACGATCATGGTAATCCTACCGACTGCGCCAATTTTAATCATTCTTAATAGTATTATATTTTTTAAAAACTAAAGTGAGTTTCCTCCCTTTGGCGAAACTCGCGTTAAAAAATAACACGTCAATTAAAGTTTGCTGCTGGAATAGAACTAAATCTTTATTTGTGAATGAGTGCAATATACATAATTGTTTATTTTAATTCTAGATACATCGTATGATTATTTATTGGTCTTTTGATTCGATCGTATGATTTGAAATACGATCGATTGTGTGATTTGCAAGAAGGGTGTGGCTTTTTTTCTAAATGACAGATGGTACGATAATTGTAATATGAATACGATAATTGTAATATGAATATATTGCCAAGTCATTGGAAAGGCATTTTGGTTTGGGTTATAACATAATCGATACTACAGCCTAAGACAGAAAATTGTCTGTGCAGGTCGAGCTCTTCGTAAAGCGCCCATATAACGGTACCTCCTGATATTCGGTATTTTAATGATTTTAGGGACATTTTTCAACATAATTGTTTCAAATTTGGTGTTTAAAGTTCGTAATGGATACTACAGCCTAATACAGAAAATTGTCTGTGCAGGTCCACGTTTTCGTATAGGCCCCATATAACGGTTCCTCCCGATATTCGGTATTTTGATGATTTTTGCGAATTTATTCACCAGAATTGTTTCAAATTTGGTATTTAAAGTTCGTAAAGGATACATAAAATTGTCTGTGCAGGTCCACATCTTCGTACAGCCCATATAACGGTACCTCCCGATATTCGGTATTTTAATGACTTTAGGGACATTTTTCACAAGAATTGTTTCAAATTTGATGTTTAAAGTATGAATGGATACTACAGCCTATGACAGAAAATCGTCTGTGCAGGTCCACATTTTCGTATAGCCCCCTTATAACGTACCCTCCGATATTTGATTTTTTTAAGTTTCGCATTTGAATATTGTAATGGCTTATGACAAATGTTACCTATGCAGGCCCATGTCGTCGTATAGACCCTAATATAATAGCTACATTCGGTATTTTTAAAATTTTAGCAGAATTTTAACGGATTTTATTGTTTTGAGAATTGCCAAATCCGTTCCAAATGGTGGAGGGTATTCAAAGTTCGGCTCAGCTGAACCCTCATCTTTATACCCTACACCACAAGGTGGTCAGGGTATTATGTCTTTGTGCATTTGTTTGTAACAGGCAAAAGGAAACGAGATAGACCCATAGTTCCTTTTGATGATCTGCATAGAATTACATTCTGTGTCGATTTATGCATGTCCGTCCGTCCGTCTGTCCGTCCGTCCGTCCGTCTGTCCGTCCGTCCGTCCGTCCGTCCGTCTGTCCGTCTGTAGCTCCCATATTATAGAGTATTGCATATATCAAGTATATACTGTATTTTGTATTGTATGCAGAGCCTACTGTAATATTACTATATAGTACTTGTATGCAGAGCCTACTGTAATATTACTGTTTAGTACTCTTACATTCTTCCATTCCCTCTCATTCGTTGTTTATTAAATATCACTCAATCACTACTAATGAGTGTAACAGTAGTGATTGTTGAACCCTATTCTCTTTTGTAAACAGAAAATAAACACATTACATTTTGGACTTTGATCGCAACGGTTGTGTTATTATTTTTGTCTATTTGAAAGACATTACATTGGCGACGAGGAAAAATAAAAAAAAAAAAAAATAAAAGTTAGTGTATATACACATAAAAAAATATATGTAAATACATATAAATCCATTTTGTGGAAATTAATAATAATAATAAAAAAAAAAAACACAACAAAAACAACAAGTAAATGCCTCCTAAGATGGAAGAAGCTGCAAATCAAAGTTTTAATGTTGCTCCAGTAACAGTGCTTCAATCGTCGAATGTGCCGGAATTCAACCCTAATGTGGAGTCGTGGAACGTTTGGAAGGAGAGATTGGACATTCATTTTTTTGAAATTAACTGTTCGGACGAGAACACCAAAAAGTCAATTTTGTTGAAATCAATTGGTGTTGTGCCGTACAGAGTTTTGCATAGTTTATGCAGTCCGGAGTCTCCAGTGTCCGTGTCGTATAAAAAGCTGTGTGAGATTTTAGATACACAATATACCCCACCAACTATTGTATTTAGTGAGCGGAAGAAGTTTCATTTGTGTAGCAAAGCTGAAAATGAGTCGGTGGCTGAATGGTATGCTCGTGTAAAAACATTAGCACTCAATTGTTAGTTTGGTGTCAGCTTGGATGCATTTATACTTAATCAATTTGTTATGGGTTTGCCAAATTTCATCTTTGAACGATTGTGTGAAGAAGATGAAACCCTAACAGTACAAAGTGCATTAAGAAAGGCTATGATTTTGGAAACGAAGCATATGGCAAAGGCAGAGGAGAAAAGTCAATGCACTGTAAATTTGGTTAACGGTCAGAAATATGCAAAAAATCACTATGGTGGTGGTGGCAGAGGCAGCACTGGCAGTGGTAATAGAGATGGTGGTAGCAGCAGCAGCAGCAAACGTAACAACAATAGCAGAGACAGCAAGAGCGGCGGTGGCAAGAAATATGCATGTTCTCATTGTGGTTGGAGAAATCATAGTTCTCAGTCTTGCAAATATAAAGAGAGCAGATGTCATTCGTGTGGAAAAATTGGTCATTTGGCATCGGTCTGCTATAGTAGGAAAAAGAGTGTAAATTATGTATCGAATGAAATTAATGACGTTGAGAGTGATGTTCATGAATATAACAATGTTTTCGATTATTCTATTTTTAGTGTGGCTGAGAAAGAAAATGGTGATGTGTATTCTCTGGATGTTGTTGTTGATGGTGTGGAACTGAAGGCAGTGTGTGATACAGGTGCACCATGTACGTTGTTGCCGATTTCATTTTTGGAAGAGAACGGAATTAAGAGAAAATTGAGATCGTGTAAAGTGCCATATGTAGATTACAATGGTGTTAAGCTGAAGTTAGCTGGTGAATATGATGCAAGTGTAACGTATAAAGGTAATACCAAATCAGTAGTGGTAGTTGTTGTTGTTACGAAGAATCCTCCGTTGCTTGGTCGATCGTTTTTACGAGCTTTTAATTTTGAATTATTACAAGTTAACAACATTCAAGTCTCTGATATGACAATTGTTAATCAGTTGAAAAATGAATTCAATGGAGTTTTTGATGGTAAATTGGGAAAGTTTAGTGGATGCACAATTTCCCTACAAGTTGTTAGTGACGCAGTACCAATATTTTGCAAACCAAGGCCATTGCCACTAGCTTGGAAAGAACGAGTTGAAAAACATTTACGTCAATTAATTGCCTCTGACGTCTTGGAACCCATAGATAATTCGGATTGGGGTACTCCCCTTGTTCCTATTTTAAAACCCAATGGTGATTTGAGGATTTGTGGTGATTATAAGGTCACATTGAACAAGTTTTTGGTTGATTTCAAGTATCCTCTACCTAGGATTGATGAAATTTTTGCTTCGTTGGAAGGTGGTGAAGTTTTCACCAAACTAGATCTTTCAAATGCTTATAATCAGCTTGTTCTAGATGACGATTCTCAACTTTTGTGTGCGTGGACTACTCATATTGGAACCTTAAAAGTTAAACGTTTACCCTTTGGTGTGAAAACAGCGGCAGCAATTTTTCAAAAGACTATTGAGAATTTGTTAAGAGATATTCCGTGTGTTGTGGTTTATCAGGACGACATAACCGTTACTGGAAAGAATTTGAGTGAACATATTTCGACATTAAGGCGTGTATTAGAGAAGCTACAGTCTTCGGGATTAAAACTTAACGTGAAGAAGTCAAAATTTTTTCAAAACGAGATTTCCTACTTAGGATTTAATATTAACAGAAATGGATTGACTAAGAATGATGAAAGAATTTCAAGCATTATGTCTGCGCCTATTCCAAGAAATATATCCGAAGTACGAGCTTTTGTTGGTATGGCGAATTATTATTCAAAATTCATCAACGATTTTGCTGATATTATGTCTCCGCTATATAATTTGTTGAGTAAGGATGTTTCGTTCGTTTGGTCTGATAAATGTCAAAAGGCTTATGACAGAATTAAACGTGAAGTTACGTCCGATCAGGTCCTGGTGCATTTTAACCCTAAATTGCCTTTGATTTTGACAACGGATGCGTCGAACAATGCTGTTGCTGGTGTTCTATCACATAAATTTTCTGATGTTTCTAAACCCATTTCATTTGTTTCACGAGCTTTAACCAAGAGTGAGAAAAATTATAGCACTTTGGAAAAAGAAGCTCTTGCTATCGTGTTTTGTGTTACAAAGCTTAAACAATATTTGATTGGAAATAGATTTATTTTGAAGACTGATCATCGTCCACTGTTAACAATTTTTGGAAGTAACAAAGGCTTGCCAATAATGGCGTCAGCGAGGATGCAACGTTGGGCCTTGATCCTTTCTGGTTTTAATTATACCATTGAGTATGTAAAAGGATGTAAAAATGAAGCTGATTCTATTTCCAGATTACCTCATATAAACTTTGAAAGTAATCATAGTGAAAGTTCATATATAAATTTTATTGAATCACAAAGAGATTTTCCAGTGGACTTCAAAGATATCTGCAGAGAAACCCGAAGAGACCCGATTTTATCGAAGGTAGCAGCAAGTATTTTGGATGGTACACTTGTAAATTTAAAAGATCCTATTTTTTCCACATTTCGAGAAAAATACATTGAATTAACTGTAGAATATGGTTGCGTTCTATGGGGATACAGAACAGTTATTCCTCAAAAATTAAAATCCAAAATTTTGGAAGCTTTGCATTCCTCACATTTAGGAATAGTCAAAACAAAAGCATTGGCTAGGTCGTATGTATGGTGGCCTGGTATTGATAAAGATATAGAAAGTCTCATAAAAAACTGTGTACCGTGTCAAAAATTACAGCCTAGTCCTGAGAAAGGAATTTTGATACCATGGGAGCCCTGTGGTTCAGTATGGAAACGTATTCACGTTGATTTTGCTGGTCCAATTAAAAACTTTCATTTTTTGGTTGTTATCGATTCTTATTCTAAATTTGTCGAAGTTTTTAAGACAAAGGACATAACATCTTCTTTTACAATAAGAAAACTAAGAGAACTATTTTGCAGGTATGGATTAGTGGATACCCTAGTTAGTGACAATGGGTCACAGTTCACATCATCTGAATTTCAGACATTTTTATCCTTAAATGGAATTAAGCACAGTTTAACTGCACCCGGACATCCATCCACAAATGGGCAAGCCGAAAATTTTGTCAAAACGCTTAAAAAATCTATCTATGCAAATTTGGATGGTAACAGAGACGCCAATATTGATCAGATTTTATGCCGATTCTTAATGGACTATCGAAATATGATCCACTGCAGTACTGGTGAGTCACCGGCAAAAATATTTTTCGGGAGAGAGCTCAAGACCCGATTCAGCAATCTTAAACCTCCTACCATAAAAGAAAAATTAAAGCTTTCGCAAGAGAAAAACATAATACATCATAAAGGAAAACGCAATGCAACTTTCCATGAAGGTCAAAAGGTTATGGTTCGAGATTACCGAAATCCCAATAAACCCAGTTGGACACAAGCTACAATCACACAACAACTCGGACCTCAATCTTACTCGTGTACATTAAGTCACAATAATAACAACATCAAACGTCATTTAGACCAAATCCGAGGCAGTTCTGTACAACAGCTGTCCAACGACATCACGATTCCATCCAACAACAACGACAACAATGCTATAGTCACACCTCCATCAATAACTGAAGATACTTCACAAACCACAAGAAATCTCAGACCTCGAGCAGGAGGAAAAGTCGTTAAAAAAAACTAAAAAAAATTTATGTAAATATCCATATTGTAAAATTATTTTGAATTAAATATTTGAATTTTAATATGTATGAAACAGCTTTAGGAGGAGCATATAGAGTATTGCATATATCAAGTATATACTGTATTTTGTATTGTATGCAGAGCCTACTGTAATATTACTATATAGTACTTGTATGCAGAGCCTACTGTAATATTACTGTTTAGTACTCTTACATTCTTCCATTCCCTCTCATTCGTTGTTTATTAAATATCACTCAATCACTACTAATGAGTGTAACAGTAGTGATTGTTGAACCCTATTCTCTTTTGTAAACAGAAAATAAACACATTACATTTTGGACTTTGATCGCAACGGTTGTGTTATTATTTTTGTCTATTTGAAAGACATTACACATATATATCTTCGTCCGATTTGCCTTTTATTGTGCACCAAACGTGTAATATCAGCCCGAATTGTATGGCCTGAAAATATGTATGCCAAATTTGATCGAAATCGGTTCAGATATAGCTATAGCTCCCATATATATTGTTCATCCGATTTGTTATTTTTGTCCAACGCCGCCGTAATATGCACTCTGCAACAACAATATTTAGGGATATATATCAAATACAGCTCAGAAATACATTTGCTAAATTTTATCGAGATCGGTTCAGATTTGGATATAGCTCCCATATATAACTTCGACCGATTTACCATTTATTGTGCACCAAACGTCTAATATTTGTCCAAATGGGATGGAATTTGGCACATACGACCGAATTGAGTCTAGAAGCTAGTATGTCAAATTTGGTGAAGATCGGTTCAGATATAGCTATAGCCTCCATATATATTATTCATCCGATTTGTTATATTTGTTACCCACAACTGTAATATGCACTCCGTAACAACGATATTCAGGGAAATATATCAAATACAGCTCAGAAATATCTTTGCCAAATTTTATCAAGATCGGTTCAGATTTGGATATAGCTCCCATATATATATTTATCCGATTTCAAATTAATTGTGCACCAAATGGTCAATACAAGTCCGAATTTAAAAGATACAAATGCTTCGGCATGTTTAGTCCTTTGAACTTTAAATTATCATTATAATCATAGCGTGTATGATTGAATTCTCCCATAAAAACTTTTAATTGTTATGTGGAGCTCTACTAAATTAGCAAAGTGGTGTAGGGTATCATAAAGTCGGCCCCGCCCGACTTTAAGACTTTCTTTACTGGTTTTTACTTATTTTTTTATAATATTTATATATTTTTGAAATTATTGAAATTGTTTTTATTGAAATAGTAAAAAAAAAATTTTAAATAAGTGTGCGACATTTTGACTATTATTTGTATTTAATTCTGTACAACAGTTTCATTTTGGAGAAACATGCATGGAACATTTTTTATTTGTTTCCTTTGTTTAATTTATGGTTTTAATATTTGTTTACATTCATACAGTCCTATGTTTTTTATCAAGCCATTACCTTAGTTACTTTCAGTGATAAATGACAAATTGTGTTCCTACAGTTTCTGTTTAATGGCACATACACTCCCTCATACACCCTCATACTCCTCCATACACATTTGTTTATTCCGTTGTACAAACATTAATGTCTAAATGCTATTATATTTCCTGGTAAGAAGATTTAATGACACACACACACACACATGACTGAAGGAATCAATGAAGATTAGGTGAAATCGTTAGATAACACGGAAATGCGTCAACGTTGGAGGCATGGCATTCAAACTCATTTATCTTCAAGAAAATCGCTTCCTTTATTAACTTCAAACATTTTTGGCTGAAAATCGCAATAGGGAATTAAGTGGTTATGTAATGGATACACAGGATAAGCGGTTGATTGAATTACAAGTTATTACATGCTTGTTGGTTGATTGTCAGTCAAAGTGAATGATGGGGGAATTAATTGAAACTGCAATAAATTTGTATTGAGAGTCTAGTAATGTCATATGAAGGGGTAAAATAAGGTATTAACGACGATAACACTGTGCAACACCAAACAAAAAATTACAGTGAAAACTCAGAAGATTATAAAAGAAGGGCCAAAATAAATGAGCTTTGTATTGACATTTTGAAAGTCTACATCGCAAAGTCATCTATATATATGGGGGCCAATTTCCTCCCTCTTTCATATTCCACATACATTTTTGGATAAGGATTACTTGGAATCGGTATGGTGTCTTCGGAAATATTGCCGATAACAATACTAAGATTATGTTGGTCAAAGAAGTAAACCTTCAAGCGAGTCACCAAATGGGTCTTTTTTTATTGTGAATCCTTTAAACGGAATATTAGGAATAATAAAATAAAAGTGTAGTGATATAACTAACTGATCGACGAAATGGCTGAAGCTAGAAATTTTGCACGTGGTTCAGTCTTGGTGCATAGGCGTGTGATAAGGCTGGATACTAAAAGGGTACGAAAAATACTAATATGTATTAAAAATTGAATAACGTGTATTGTACAAATGAGCTAGAATTCGCAAAATGAAATTATAGTTACAGATGGAGGGCGGATAGATATACCAAAGGCTTTTAAGAAATTCGAACTTTAAGGTTACGAAAAGTTCTAAATTGGTTCTAAATTTTTAAAATGGCATCATTTGGTATTATGTGAACGGATATATTTCGTTGTTATAGCTAAATTTGATCCAATTTTAAAGAAAATAAAAAACTTGCCTTTAGGTTACTTTGTGATGAAAACTTTCAAAACGCCGTTACATGTGTAAACCACCATCATATACTAACAGCGATCTCAATATCAAAATTCGGGATTCCGGCTCTATACATTCACCCAATGCCAAATTAAGTAAAATTTGTACTTCTCGAACAAAACAAATGTCCACATCTCAACATCAGATACCAGTCGTAACCTTAATATCAAATTTCAGGATTTCAGATTCAATCTTATTTTTGGTACAAACATAATACGCAATTCCCAAACCACTTTTATATCTCAATTCCAGACACCAACAGAGACCACAATATCAGATTTCGGGATGTAAGCCCAATCCCTTCACACAATACAAAATTTAGTACTACTTTGTACTTTTCGTACCTTAATAGTACACATTTCCGAAGCCACCTCCATATCTTAACCACAGTCGCTAACAGCGATATGTATATCATATTTCAGCCCTATTCCTACATTCTCCCCAATTCTACACTCTCACGGTAATCCCAATTCCGAAATTTAGGGTCCTATCCCTGTTGGTTTGCCCGTATACAAATTGTACTCTATTTTGTACATTTTAGCACATATAAGTTCAAATTTCCAAAACTACCTACATACGCCAATCGTACACTGCGAGAGCAATCTTATTTCCAATTTTCAGGATACCAGCTCTATTGGTTTACCCAAATCCACAATGTACCAAAATTTAGTACCATTTAGCACACTTAAGTACAATTTTCCAAAAATACCTACATATCCCAATCTTAGACTCCCATAGTAATACTCAGTAAATATTTCCAATTGTTAAGGGTACCAGCTCCAAATCCAAATTGTATCAAAGTTAGTAGTCTAATAGAAATTTTATTTTCAAATTTCAGGATTCCAACTTTATTAGTTCTCCAAAATATAAATTGTATCAAATTTAGTACCATTTAGTACACATAAGTACGACTTTCCACATCCACCTACATACCTCAGGCATACAATGCAATAGTAATCTTGTTTTCAAATTTCAGGATTCTAATTCTACAGGTTCATCAATATTTAATTACATTTTAAATTTAATTTAAATTTTGGGATTCCAACTCCATTGGTACCAAATTTAGTATCATTTAGTACATATAAATACGAACTTCCTCAATCTCAATAGTAATCTTATTTTAAAATTTCAGAATTCAAGCTCCATCGGTTCACCCAAATCAAAATTGTGCAAATTTAGAACCATTTAGTACTTTTCGCATACATGAGTACACACCCCCAAAACGACCTCCTTACATCGACCTTGGTTCCTATTCCAAATTTTATGTTTTTTACCCTAAGCCATTAACTAGACAGGGTATACACATATAATTTGATACGAGCAAAACGTGCCTCTTCGAAATAACGGTTTTAGCCCCTAGGTTTTTTAGACCAAATCCGTTTCAGGACATTTGGATTCGATCTAGCTTGTCCGCCTGTCTGTCGAATAAATCTAAACGTATTCTAAAATTTTATCCTATTTCCGAAATGTTTTGTTTCATTCAATAAAATTTAAAAAAATGTAAAAATTATGGCGTTTGACTTTGTTGCAGTTTTTTATCTCACCCTGTACACTCCATCAGTGACCCAAATTTAAAATTTAAGATTTTAACTACTTCCTCAATTATAAAGGGTGCCACATTTAATAGCTTTTAGTGCCATTCTAGTACGATTTTCCAAAAGCCCAGCCGTATCTGAGCCGTTCGGACCAAGAATGACCTTTACCCAAAATATCAAGATTCTAGCTTCAGCCGTTTCGCCTGAGCGTTGATAAATCCTTAAGTCATTCAGTGCATTACTTTACTCTTTTATTAATATAGATAAGTATAAATGATGCTATATATCCGGATATTGAAAATCTTTTTTTTTTTTGTTAAAAAAATATTATCCAAACCCAAAGCTTTTCAATTAGACGTTGTTGTTAAACTGATTTCAAAGTTTTAAATCCATTTTCCTTTTTTTGAAAACTCAGCTATTTTGATTTGTCCCTCCCTGCCTTAGCTAGCTATTGGTCATTTACTTTGAATTACATGAACATTTCAAACTAACGGACGGACGGACGGACCATGACACACACACACACAATAAAATCTCATCTATAAAATAGTTATTTTCTTTTCCCATTTTTTTTTTTTTTTTTTTTTTGCTGAAGAGAATTGAAACCTCCCGCTATTGAACAAACTTTTTAAATTAAACTGCAACTCTGAGTTCAACCACCATGACGCTTCCATTTTAACAATGTTGCATGAAATGACTTTCTCTACTCTGTATCAACGGAAAATGACAGTATGAAGTATAAGATTAAATTTTCGATTTTGTCGTTGTTGTTTTCTATTTTGTTTTTCTCTTGCTAAGTCATGCTCTTTGTTGGTTTCTAGCAGTTTTGACAAAAAGCCATTCAATGAGTCCAAATGAAATATAGTAGTGTAGTGCCTTTAATATTTATATTTACAAACACACCATATGCATACGTACATTCATATGGATGAATGTATGTATGTATATGTGAGCGGAGAGAGTTCGCATGAACTCCCTCAGACCCAGAACAGATGTATAATGAAGTATGGCTTAATCTTGTTAAATGTCAGCAAGTTGTCACAATATTTCTGATAAATGTTTAAGTAGATTATGTTGTTGTTGCTGTTGAC